CATAGAGCCCATAGAGTTAAAGGTGGTGGACTGTAACCTGTAAAATCCATAGATTTAGGAGGTCCCCTGGTGGCCGTTAGCTGTAAAAATCCATAGATTAGCCGCACCGTTATAAAAGCTGCAGGGTCGAAAAATGGGAAAAAAGGCGCGGCTTATAGTCCGAAAATTACGGTAATCATTTTTCCCCATTGACTAAAAGGATTTAAATTACATTTTGTATAAACTAAATATCAAACTTTTCCTTAAAGGGGCACTATTCTACTCATTTTCAGGTTCATATTTGTATTTGTGTCTCTACTGTGACATGTGTTGATACTTCAATATTAGTGGTGGGGCAAAATCTAATTGTTATGAATGTCTAGCTTCTCCTCGTTTACATCATCATGTGATTGAAAGCCCAGCTGTACCTGTTGCTGTGACGACGATGGAGACTTGGGTGTTGTCGAGTCGTCGCCACTGTCATCGTCTGTGATCTTGAACTCCAGATCCTCCGTGTACCTCTTCCTCTTCACCTGACGGCTGGAGCGGCGCTTCTGTTGGACAGAGGGAGAGTTCTGTGAGTTCGGGACGGCTTTCCAAAGTGTAAATGTAAATGTGTAGTGGCGGAGAGAGGAAAATACAGGGCTGTTCTATTCCATCAAACGCACTTCAATTGTATTATTCATTATTCTCTTCCATATGGTGCGGCCTGTTATCCATATTGACATCACCCAATTTGCTGGGCTGGAAAAGTAGCCAAATAATGAGTGTGTGTAAAAAGACAAGTGTAGTGAACAGGAGAAAGAGGACACACTTCTTCCGGAGCTTTCCTATTTGAATGAGAGCCACGACTCTTTATGCAGCCAGATGCTACTCTGTTTACATGGCACACATAATTACATTAGCACATCAAACATTTATCCGTTTGAAGAGGGCTAAAGTGGAGTTCTGTTTGTTCCTCCAAAGAGCACCTTACTGAACAGGAAGGAGACATTTTGAATTGTATTTGAAATAAAACATTGATGCGCCAACTGAAAAGTTGCTGATAGTGCATCAGATGAACTTGGCAGTTGAGCCTGTGGTTGGTCTGTCAACAAAGCTGGTTTACAACACAAACAGAGGACAGCTTCTATCTCTACAGGCTGTGACACTGAGGGATGTTTTTAGGTGTTATGCCTGAAACAAACACTGCAGTCTTTTCTTCTCAGGAAGGTTCCTAACCGAGGGAAAGACCCAAAAGTACCTATGGGCCAACATGCATTTCTGATCTTCTGCTAGATTATGAACCACACAAAACTCTCAGGGGGTCTGGGACGATTTGCTTTCTGTCCCCAGAGTCAGAACTAATCATTGAGAAGCAGCTTTCAGTTATTATGCTCCAAATATCTGAAACAACTCCCAGAATCCTGCAGGTCCGCTGTAACTCTTACTACTTTGAAGAAAAAAAAATTCACTGCAAAGCCAACACATTTATATAGAACACATGGGGGGGTAAGTATCTAGATGTGTTTTGAGTAGTCCATGTATGAACATTTTTAGTCTGCACAGTTTTTCCTAAGTCCTGATGAATTCACATTCAATCTTTCAATCCTTAAACCCATGATGTTTTTCAATGAGTTTAAGGGAAAGTGATTAGACATAGGACCTGATTTTTGACAATTAAACAGCAACCATCTTATAATTCGTTAATTTGAACAATTTGTGAAGTTTTTAAATGGCCGAGAGTTGAAACGGGCTTCTAAAGCGCTGCTTTTCTGGTCTGCGTGTCGTACCTGTACGCCGTCATCATCGTCATCTTCAGGAGCTGAGGGGGGTGGAGACTTCACCTCCACCTCATCGCTGAATGACGGCTCTCTCTTCCTCTTGGATTCCTTCTTAGCAGCGCTAGCCCCACCCTCAGACTCAGCCTTCTTACTGCTGTAGGGAGAGAGAGAAAAAAAAACGAAATATTCAATAAAGAAAAAAAAAATGACTGAAAGTAGAACATTCCTCAAAGTGTTAGGCATTCCTGAGTGTGTGTGTGCCTGTCTGTCCCAGGGCGGTCGCCATGTTTGATTTACCCATTTAGAAATCATTAGTGTGCCTCGGGCTCTGGCACACAGGGGGTTAATATGATGAAAGACTGCAGAGAGGCGGAGGGAGCGAGATAGAGAGATACAGGCACAGAGGAAGAGGGGGGGGGGCATAGAGAGACACAGGGAGGGAGAGACAGGCAGACAGAGAGAGAGGCCTCAGAAAGAGGAGGGGGGAGGGGTTGAAAGGCCCCCAGGCTTCCTCTAATCTCTGGCATGGAAAGCAAGAGGAGCTGGCTCCATCTGCGAGAGCGCGCACACACACCACAGGAGGAAAGCAAGAGGACACTGGGCTCCCCTCTTCTGTCTCTCACACCGGCCATCAGTACTCACTCTGACACGACGAATAGTGGAGAAGCTTTATAAAACACAGATTTTTAAATAACTACATTCTGATCTACATTCAGGCTGTAACTAAAGTTGTGACAGGACAGAGTTAGATTACATAGCTCCAGTATTGGTGCTACTTATCCAATGTGAATCCTTAAATCCACCATTCAACTATTTAGATTTCAACATTTTTAGCCTTCTAAACTTGTAGCCTCAATCTGAAGCGAGAAGAGCAGCAGAATTCAATGCTGACCCATTAGAGGTGCACACATTGCAATAACTGTTTTTTTAAGTCTAACCTGCCGATCCAGATTTTCTTTCCAAGAACTAGAAGTTCTTCGTTTTTAAATGGAGTGAAAGAGTTAAGATGCCTCAGGTTAAGTGATGGGAAGCCCTGCGCAAGGAGTTCGTTTACAGAGGATTTAATCAGACAACAGTTTTGTTAAACGTCTCCTATCATGCTATTTTTAGGCAATAGCATAGGTCTCAGATATATACAAATATGTCTATGAAGTGTTTAAAAAAGGGGGCGGAGCTTATGCCTACTAATGTGGGAGATTCTACCGGCAAATACTGCCGTGAGGAAACGCCATATCATGGATTATCAAGGATTATTTCTGAAACAGTATGGAGCTCAAAGGCTTTCTCTCTTGCCGGTTATACCACAAGGTGAGTTCCTTTTTATTTCCTGCTTCTTCACA